TTTAACCTGCAGCTGTCACAGATAAGTTATTTCCAAACGTCCTGCTTTGACCGTATTTTTGACGTTTTTTTTTTTTTTTTTCTATTCGGTGCGTTCTGGCCGTCCAGGCGGTACTCCAAAAGACGCAAAAATTGTTCTGTTGTATAAACATCTAGTAATAAGTTTGGGAAAAAGTCATAATTTAAACTGAACAATACACACATGTACAAATTGAAAGAAAAACATTTAAAGATACATGCTTTCTGGTCTGGATCCTGGCTTGCTTAAAATGAATTCTATATAAATGATTTACTTGTTCTAACATTTTTCTGATAATCTTTAACGTATATTTATATAGTCATACCAGCTGGATTAGTTGTCATTACTTTAGATTTTTCCCCATGCAATACGCTGTTTCATCAAGTCGGTTTACGAGTTGGTCTAGCTCCAGTTCTTCCCCCGGCCAACCCGTTTATGTCATGTGAGAAATTTGGGTGTTTTTTGATTCGCCTTCTTCTAAAACTTTCCATGATGTTTTTTATTAGTTATAATTCTTGCTAAGAAGATATTAAACAATATTGGGTAGAGACGTCAGCCTTGTTGAATTCCTGCTGTTGTTCGGAAAACCAGTCCCTATTTGTCCGTTCAGTGTGATGCCTTGGTGGCTTTGGCATAAAGTTGTTCTATAATATAAATGAGACCAACATACTATCATGTTTTTAGAATGTAGTAGCCCCTAATGATTTTTAAAAATAGTAATATTAGTAATTTTTTTTTCAAGGGTAGGGGATTGGGGGGGGGGGGGGTGGGGTGATTAAATGACTTTCTTGGAATGTCCCGTTTTCAATTCAGCATATTAGTGGAATGCCTTTTTTTCAGCTCAAGATACTATTGTGGCCCTCCTTATCAGTCGTTTTGCTCTTCAAACACCTATGAATCTTTTCAGAGTTATGTTAGTTGCGTATCCTTTACAAGACGTTGTAGAACCAACCCCAGCAGCCCCTGGCTGTTGTATGGTTTTTCTAAGCAAATTTATGTCCAGTAGTTTGCCATTGATCCTGGACGGTCAGCTTTTTTGATACCACTGTCGAAACCAACGCAAAGCGCAAGGCCAGCCGCTGGGCTCGAACCCGGCATCCCGACATTACGAAGCGTTCGCATCGACTTTGCCACAGAGCCGACACTCTTCAGAGTACTGTGATGATTACTGGTATATTTCTTCTCTTCACAGGTGTGTGTGTGTGTGTTTTCTTTAGTTCACCCATGACTGCGTTCTTTTCTTGATGTTTCAGTTCGATGTCTTTTGACTTAGAATATTTTATTCGATAACAAAATATTCCTTGTTACATTGACATATGCTGTAGACACTCCAATGTGAGCAACAGCGAGATAATCATGCAGATTATATTTTCACCAAAGACATGTTGACCTGATATTTGAAGACATTAGGGTCGACATCACTGTCTCTAATTTTATCCTAAATGGCCTTGTGTCTCGGCAGCGAGACTCTTTGCTGCTGAAGGAGCTGTCTAACGCTAGAAACCCTGGAACAACATAGACGACCCATAGCGATTTACAAAATACTCACCTACAGAATTACTAGGTCCTGAAAGTACCTATTTGCTAAACATTGTCGAAGATCCTTCTAACTCCATCGTATCCGCCCTCATCCCGCTATATTTGCGATCGCTGCTAGAGAAATCCTGCACAAATATTTTTTCCCTTAACGATACCTGTTTTTGATTCACAACGAATATATGGGCGGCTCCCTACTTCTTTTTCCTAATCGCTCGACACACGAATCCCTCTCTCATCTTCTCTCTCTCTCTCTCTCTCTCTCTCTCTCTCTCTCTCTCTCTCTCTTCCTCTCTCTCTTTCTCCCTCCCTCTATTTCTCTTTTTCTCTCTCGCTGATCTCCTTGAGTTTGTTAGCCTATTTCCTAATGTGGGTAGTGACTGACTCTTGCCTTCTGCGGCCCTACAACTCTGCGTTTTAATCCGAACTTGGTGGATACAAACGAGAACAGAATTGGTGCCATTTCAACCCAGCCTCAATTCAGTACAGAAATGTAGTCGGAAGTAAAGGCTACAAGAGTGATTTTGACCATATAACCCATCGGGTACCGTTTGATTTAAAATATAAATATTTTACCGGCAGTATCGCACAGGGAAAAGGATAGTGGACACAATATTTGTAATATTTCAATCAGTACCCATTAGATGTGATGGTCAACGTCAAGCCGACTGTCGTTACTTCACATGACCTTTCCGGCTATACATTTTAGGCTGTCCAGACCTGGGGCTCAGATTCGATTTGTATGTATTCCTTTCCAAGTTCGCTCCAGCGGATTCGAATCCAAGACCTTCAGGTGATTGCACCGCCAGAGCTCCTAACAAAATGTTGGCTACAACATAAAACGAGATGCTTTTATTTAACTGTACCTGTTCAGACGAGAAATAGTGAATGTCCTGCAAGTATAAAGTCGTAAAAGACAGCAGCGCGTAGAAATGGAAAGTAAGACCTATATGCCCAATCACGTAAGCCCAAACTGCAGGAGATGTCAGTATATCTGCCCATGGCGTTACGTATGTTTCCTAGAAAGGAAATAATACAACATCGAGTAAATATCGCCGGCGTTATGTATAATAACACAAATATTAATAGTCAAACTATATTAATGAGGGTAATAATTGTTGCATATGAACAGAAACTGTGATACCTTGAGCCTACTCCCCCCACCGCCTCCCCCTTTTCCAAATTAAGCGCCACCAGACCTCTGTAAAAGTTTTCTTTTTGAGGATTTGTTTACACATTTCACGTTACGAGCGTTTTTCCTTTTGACATTTTCTTCAGATCATGCTGGCGCATAGGTGGAAAGGCAAATAGACCGGATGGTCATGCACTGCTAGGTGTTGAACTGATGCATGACAAACAAGAGGATTTAAGAGACCGTTCAGGGTGAATGGATAGTTCTAAGGCACAGATAAATATCATGGTCTGAGGTTCAGGGTGAAAGGATAGTTCCAAGGCACAGATAAATATCATGGTTTGAGGTTCAGGGTGAAAGGATAGTTCCAAGGCATAGATAAATATCATGGTCTGGGGTTCAGGGTGAAAGGATAGTTCTAAGGCACAGATAAATATCATGGTCTGAGGTTCGGCGTGAATGGATAGTTCCAAGGCACAGATAAATATCATGGTCTGAGGTTCAGCGTGAATGGATAGTTCCAAGGCACAGATAAATATGGTCTGAGGTTCAGGGTGAATGGATAGTTCCAAGGCACAGATAAATATCATGGTCTGAGGTTCAGGGTGAATGGATAGTTCTAAGGCACAGATAAATATCATGGTCTGAGGTTCGGCGTGAATGGATAGTTCCAAGGCACAGATAAATATCATGGTCTAAGGTTCAGGGTGAATGGATAGTTCCAAGGCACAGATAAATATCATGGTCTGAGGTTCAGAGTGAATGGATAGTTCCAAGGCACAGATAAATATCATGGTCTGAGGTTCAGGGTGAAAGGATAGTTCCAAGGCACAGATAAATATCATGGTCTGAGGTTCAGGGTGAAAGGATACTTCCAAGGCACAGATAAATATCATGGTCTGAGGTTCAGGGTGAAAGGATAGTTCCAAGGCACAGATAAATATCATGGTCTGAGGAGAATGGTGTAGCGAGGAGTGACCAGGGGATCTGGCTGACGATACTAAGCGTAGGGGTGAGACGGATAGACAATCAGACAGCTGCTTTTGCGATCAGAATTAGAACTCTGCATTTACTGCTAAAAATGGGGATGCAGCGCTTATAAGAATTTCCTAGGTGCCGTAATGTCGATTCTTAATTAACCTTTAAACAGATTATGTCACAAAAATGATATATTTGTTTGCTTCTCGGTACATAATAATTGTCACATAACCATCGAAACACCCCTGTGCTGGTTGACAAGCCCACATCTTGTACACCCCTATGCAAATTAACTAATTTCAAATATGAAATATTCCTTCTTTAGTAAGGATGGGTCGAGATGTCGGTAAAAGAAATATGTTCCACCCCTATTATATTTGGAGTTAATTATATTATGAATTCACTCCTAGGTAAGTGATTTCAAAGCGTAGCGAAGCCAAAGTCCACGGCCGAACTACAGCCGTTCTGTTAGGAATGTATTACGCTTCTAGTTCGGGACACATAATTTTTTGGCGTTCTTCTTGACACAGATTCCAAAGCCAGCGGACGGTATAACGCTTCGTTCTGTCATCTTACTGAAATATCTGAACTGAAAGCCACCGTTTCACCCAGGAATTTCAAATGAAAACTGGTAAGTTGAACTATAATTAACTTAAAGTTTTTTTTTTTCTTTTTCTGGAAATAATGCATGTGTTTAAATAGTTGGTTAACCCAGGTTCTTATTGTACAATTTCCTCAGGATGTGTACGCTCTGATCCAGAGAGTATGCTGGTTTAGCTAGAACAGATATCAGAATCGCATGCAAAAAGTTCTACCAAAATTGCTGCATCCCTCAGTCCTAACTCTTCTACCAAAATTGCTGCATCCCTCAGTCCTAACTCTACCTGAGTAAAGACGTTCATTCCACCAATGCTCAGTCACATCTACCAGGTACCCCGACTTACTATTTCTAGAACCCTGAATCTTATGTGACTTAATGAGTCACATTCTGTGAGAACAGCTGCAGACCCCACTTCATCAGCTGCTGTAACTAGCTTAAGGTTTGCCACACCATACCAACCACCTGTCAGTGCTCTAGTCTGAATCCTATAGAGGCACTATACACCCCCACTAGTTATAGCTACGAGCCGTCAAAGCTGAATACTATTTAAGCTCTGACCGCTAAATATTTAAATTACCTTTATTGTTTTTCCCCCTCTGTAATGAACAGAAATAATAATAATAATAATAATAATAATAATAATAATAATAATAATAATAATAATAATAATAAAATTACATGGCCCTCGAAAAGAATACTTTCATACTTAATGTAATGACACACATTCGTGCAGACCTCTTCTGGTGGCAAATGTTTTTTGAGACAGTTGCGAATGTACATCTTCTCCAGTTTGGTGATTCGAGGATGTTGGCTGGGCGTTTCGTAAACGAAATAATACCAAAGGAGACACCACATGATTGTCACACCACCTGCGTGGAATAGAGAAAAACCGAATTACTTTACTTTCTACTGAAGGTCTCACCTACTAATTTCCACATCACCATCCAGCTGTTTGGTGTTTATACGTAATAAAGGACTGACAGTCTCTTCTGCTTCTTCTTTCTTCTACTCCTGAAATGCCTGGCAGTGCCAGGGCAGGAAGAGATTTCTAGAAAGTGTCCTTCTGTTTGTTTCGCATAAGGTTCTTTTCAGCGTCTCTGATATTTCTGCGGTCCATATTCTGTGTGGGCAACCTCTGAATCTGTTTAGGCAGTATCTGTATAACATTGCTCTCTGTGGTGCCCTGTCTGATGTCAGTCTTGTTACATGACCAAATCATTTGGTTTATTTTCTACATATAAAATTCAGTAATGTGTCTGTACCGACTTTCCTCTTGATATCCTAAGTGGAGCTTTCCTCGTTACATCTAGTATAGTACGTAAACATTCCATTTCTTTAGTAACTAATTGCTCTCTGACTTCCGAAGACTGTTTCTGATTCCGATTCCTTTTGAGAAAAAAAAAAAAAAAAATAAAAGTTCGACTACTTTCAGACTGCTGCTAGCTAGTCGAGGCTACTTACAGTCTCCGCCTATATTTGTGGTCTGGGTTATTTGCTTCACTTTCGTGACTAAATTTGTTATTTGCGTCGTCTCTGGGCTTAATGCTTTCTTCCGAGTCAGACCGCTAGTCCTCCACCCTGTTGTTAGCTGTGCGTTTCTTGAGATTTTCTTATCTGGTTTCGTTTTATTGTATATCAAGCAAATAATTGTTAAAATCATCGTTTTTTTTTTTTTTTTTTAACAATTAGAAAAAAAATCAATAGTAAACAAAAGTTCTAGTATTTCTTGCTAGCATTTTATGCCTTTATAACTCTGGCAACGATCTTCTGCTCTTCAATTAGAAAACGACAAATGATTCTTCCTCAGACGCTGTTGTGACACCGTGATCAGCCATATGCACGATTGAATGTCTTCTGAAGCTCGCTCAAAGCGCTTAGCTCGTGGGGAACGCGCATATCTCAATCCCAAGGGCTTAGTCTTGTAAACACTACCCATTGGTGTCTTTGCAAGCTTGTAGTGGTACAAGAAAATTTATTTTCCTTTAAGGTGTCTGGAAGACCTCGTGACGGTTGCAATGTATGTTCTAAGAGAGGCGGCGTCAGAAAAAAGGTAGCTACACCATCTTCCTCGGTGTTATTTCCAAAACGTATGCTCTACAATATACGAGTGGTTAGGAATTTATGCGTCTAAACATGTCTAGATCTGAGGTGTTTAACACTAGTTCAAATGGTTATATTCTTCCAAGCGACCATTTTAGACAGTCTCTGTCTCTATTTCTTCTTTCTAGTTTTCATAACAGTCTCTGGGGAATTACATCTTATCATATGACAGAAAACACAGGTGGTCTTGTTCGTATAGTTTCTGATAGTGACATACTTTCTGCACTACTTTCCCAAGCAGTCATCGTTAGTTAATTATGCTCTTCAACGTATTCTCAGTATTTTTTTTCAGAAACACTAAATGTGGCTTCTGGGACCCCATATGGAAGGAGGGGGGGGGGGGGGAATACAGCACAGCCCCCGAATCCCTGAAAAACAAATCGTAAACGACGACTAATTATGCGTGTTTCATTCGAAATCTGAGTGCATCTGCCTAAGAGGCGAAGAAACCAACAGTCTACACGCAGAAAAAAGTCAGGTCTGTAAAACGGACGTCCATTCAAAAGACAAGTTCTGGAACAAGACCCAAGTCCAGAAGTGGACGAACAACCGTAATCCTCCAGTGGAGTTTACAGCTGGCGAGGATTATGCAGAAGACGAGTTTCAGAACCCATATTACCATTCCTTACAAACTCTACTTTTTAGGATGGACAGGGCACTGTTTTTTTTTTTTTTTCGCAGCTACTGCAACAGTATTTGTTCTAAACATATTTGTGTTACCTTTCGTTTGGAAATTAAAAGTGGTTAACCACTAAGCGGAGAGAGTTAGAACCTCATAAAAGAAAACATGGTCAGATAAGGTCGAGTTTTTTTTTACTTTAATGAAACCTTTCAACCTTTTCTTTCTTTTTTGATCGTTCACATTGCTGGATTGATACTTTGTGACCGAACAGGTTTGACATTAACATTTAAGTTGCCTGTTCTTTAATATAATGCAATTGTGTAACATCATCAACATCGTCATCATTAGCATCATCAGCATCATCGTAATCTTCATTAATGTCATCATCATCGTCATCATAATCATCCTCCTCAGCACAATTATCATCATCATCATCATCATAGACATGATCAACATATCCTGATCATCATCCTTATCGGCATCATTGTCTTCACCATTATAATCATCGTCATCGTAATCATTGACATTATCATCATTATCAACATCGCCACCCTGCCGTGCTGTTAGACGCAACCGCACAACAGTCTTTTCCCCCGTCCCTTTCTATCCCAGCTATATCTCTAAACAGCATTCGTATTAGGGTATCTCTGGACGTCTTTGCTTACACAGTCCATGTTTCCCATGTGAATACTTCTTCGGTGATTATCTTGCTGTATTTTTTTTTTCATGATTTACTTACGATATTTGTCATCATCTTTCTCTCTTTCTCTTGTAACGAGTGGTACCAGCGGCTGTCAAGACATTTCTCAAGTCTGTATCTTTCTCAGATTTATCCCATTTAATGTTCACCAATTCCTACAAGGAAAGACTGATGACCTCTGTATTTATAATTACAGTTACGCAAATACTTAGAGATTAGACTACTAACCTGATAAATAAAATGCATACTTCCAGCCGTTTTCTACAATGGTACAAAGTATATTCACAGTGGGATATGTCAAGATGATTCCTAAAGTCGAACCTACAGGATAACAAGGGATTATAGCGACAATGTATATGATTCACATACACATACATTTACATACTCATACATTCACGTGCAGACACAAACGCATATTCACCGTTTCTTTCCAATTTTCTTTTTTTTTTCTTTTTCATATTGCTTTGCTGTTAGCTCTTTGTATTGTTACATAGTAACAATATCTGTGCGTGTTACCTCAAAATGGGGAGGCGCGATGGGGTGGAGGGAGGGGGTTGGTAGGGTACTATTTAAAAAATAAAATAGTCGGGGCGATACATCCTAATTATTAAAATACTTTCGGTGGCGCTACAGATTATATAATAATTTGCTTGGTCTTTTGTCATATGTTTAACAGCTAGGCTGTGAAATCTGCTTGTGAATGGATTGACGGCGCTATAAGGTATACGGTGGGTGTCAGTGTCAATAGAAATATAAGCTATATATGAAAATGTTGGGGAATGCCTGGTTTTTACCAGATTGATGAGTAGGTTTATAATTGAAAATATTACAATCGCTAATTAGGTCAAAAACCATTTAGCGCTAGACATTTATTGTTTTTATAATCAAATTAACCTGAGCGAGCATGAATAAAAGATCAGCTTGTGTGTAACTGGGTCCGATTTTGTTACTTAAACCGAAAACCCTAGTTAACATAATTTATAGTCAAAAAAAGGGGTCAGAAAGGGGTAGCAAAATATAACGTGAGTGAATATGAATATTCTAAAACCTAATATTGTGAGTTGTAAAGAGACTGGATTTCACGTGAAAGTGTGAATAATGTGAATACAAATGCATACTTGGAGAGGACATAGCCAAGACCGGACGTAGCACAGTGACAGAGTAAGTAAGATCATTATTTATGGGATGTCTGCCTGAAAGAAACTCCGTTTTCCGCCAGCTCTCCCGTCTTATGGACTTTCATACTTAAGGAGTCACTTAAATCATGTGACAATCTTCGAGTTGGTCGGGACCCATCTCTGACCCCTCATTCCTGGTACCATGCCTTCTGCTATAATGTTTTTCCAATCCGCCGTGGCGCTTGATATAGTCAAAATATTTTAGCTTCCGAGACAGGATGCTGTTTATTAGACAATCTTCCTTGATGTTCAGACCTTTCAAAATGTCATTATTTCTCTTTTTCTTTGTCCGAGATATGCTGAGAATCTTTCTATAGCACTTCAGCTCAAAAACCCATATTCTCTTTCTTAAGAACTGGGATATAGTCCACGACTCACATCCATTTGATCTACTTGCTGATTTAAATTTAGTTGCGTATTCTTTACAGGACGTTGCAGAACCAACTCCAGCATTTTTTAACTGTTGTGGTTTTTCTAGACAAATGTACGTCCATTAGTTTGCAGGAGTATCACAGAGCAGGGCACTCACTTTCCCTAGCAATCGAACAGGTTGCTGAAGGCTGAGGACATGATCTACAGCCATGTGGGTGTGGAAAGCAACGTTAAACTACGACATTACTATCCCAAGAAACTCATCATGGAAGCCAAAAATGAAACTAAAAGATCTGATGGTGAGGCCCCCATGCCAGGCCGATCACAAACGCGAACTGGGAAAGAGAACGATGGCAGAGCAAGTAAGGGTAGTTGTGATGACGGCCTTAAGACAGTTTATTATAATTACCTGTAATAGAATTGAACAACTCCAGATGCAAGGAAGAGACAGACATGTTTAAAGAAATTAAAACATAAAAATGCGAATTCAGGCCTTCTTTACATGTAATAAGTGATAAAAACGGTAACACAATAACAGAAACCAAAGACATATTAGAAAGATGGACAAAATACTGTAGAGAAATGTATGAGGAGGGGACATGTAATTCAAAAATGACTTGTGAAAGTTATGAAAATGAACGAAACAACCAGAGCCTTTACTGGATGAGGTACGACCAGCAATACACAGCCTGAAGAAAGGAAAGTCACCAGGTTGCGATGAAATACCAGCAGAACTAATTCAAGCAAAAGGACAGGCCATCGTCCGAATCTACTATGTACTGTGCTCGAAGATCTGGAACAGTGTCATTTTGCCTAAAGCGTGGAAAAGAACAGTCTATATCCATCTCCCAAAGAAAGAAAATCTAAAACTATGCTCTTACTACCGTACCATCGCATTAATAAGTCATGCTAGCAAAATCCTCTTACGAATTATCATAAAAAGGATTGAAAGGAAATTACAATATGAGCTAGATGAAGCACAAGCGGGTTTCAGATAGGGTAGAGGAACTAGGGATCACATCTTTAATTTGAGAATAATTTTTGAAAAATGCAGAGAATACAACGTAGATCATGCTTGTTTTATTGATTATAGCAAGGCATTTTATTGTGTCCAACACAACAAACAATGAACTATTATGAAAAGTATGGGGTTTCCAGCATATTTAGTGCATTTAATTGACAATCTTTATCATGAACAACAAGCAGCCATCAGAGCAGCTGGTGAAACACCTGATTGGTTCGAGGTGCAAAAGGGGGTGAGACAGGGGTGCATTCTCTCACCATACCTTTTCAATTTATACGCAGAAAATATAATGAGAAATGTCAAAAATGACCAGACTTGTGACAGTTATGATCCGCTTAAAATTGGTGGCAACCCTATTCCGGAACTCCGCCTCGCAGATGACACAGTCCTCTTTTCGAACAGCGTAAAGGGAATAGAAAATTGAATAGTGTCTGTCCAAAAGAACAGTGAAGATTAAAATCTGTTCTTGAATTTAAAGAAAACAAAAATAATGTCCACAGATAAAACTAGCTGTCACCCAAAAATAACAATAAATGATGAAGAAATTGAAAATGTCACAAACTTTGAAAATCTAGGCTCTATAATAAACAACAATGGAGACTGTTCGACAGAAATTATTACAAGGGAAGATGGCCATAGCAATGCAAAGATTGAACAGCCCTAAAAGTCTTTGGTTAAGCACCAGCAAGGAGATAAAAATTAGAATTTTGAGAGCATGCATCTTCCCTGTGGCTACATACGGATGCGAGTCGTGGACTATCCCTCAGTCCTCAAGAAAGAGAATAGGGGCTTTTGAGCTGAAATGCTATAGAAAAATTATCAGAATATCTTGGACAAAGAAGATGAGAAATATTGACATCTTAAAAGATCTGAACATCAAGGAAGATTGGCTAATAAACAGCATCCTTTCTCGAAAGCTGACATATTTTGGTTACATCAAGCGCTACGACACACTGGAAAAAATTATAGCAGAAGGTATGGTACCAAAAAAGAGGTGCAGGGGCCGACCGACACGAAGATGGGCACAGGATATAAGAGACCTCTTGAGTGTGAAAGTGCATAAGGCCGGAGAACTGGCGAGAGACCGAGTTTCTTTTAGGCAGACTGTGATGAGAGCGAAGTTCTCTGCAAAGAACCTGCTACATGATGATGACGAGTTTGCCATCGCCACTGGACGGTCGGCTTCTCGATACCACTGTCGAAACCAACGCACAGCGCAGGGATCGCAGCTGGGTTCAAACCCGACATCCCGGCATTACGAAGCGTGTTCTCAACGACTTAGACTTGCTAGTATACTTATGTAAAAAGTATCGTGCGTTTTATGTTAACATCTGGCACATGAAATATGTTGAAAAAAAATGTTCTAAAGTGTGCATGTAAGTCATTTGACTATTCTACAGAAGGCGGCAATCTATATTCTTCTGTCTTTTTCAGAAAATGGGATAATTTGAGTTCATTGTGACACCCCAAAAGCTGAGAAGGGACGAAAGGTGTAGGGAGATAAAGTGACAAGATGCTAGACAGTTTGACTTCATGGTATAGAGAATTATTTGTTGCTGTTTGATAGTAAACGAGAGGAAGATTTCATGCATAAATGGCTAAAAATAAATTATCGTATGGAATATCAGAAGAAAAAGTTCAGTGATAAAGACCAATCCTCCGCGTAGAAGCATCGTGAGAGCCACCTCACTTACTGACTGCCGACTGGTCTAACATAATTTCTGCTACGCAAGTCTCCGAAATTTGATGTAACGTCACTTTATCTCAGGCGATGCTACTGCACTTTGGCCATTACCATGAATGCTCAGCTGCGCGCAAGATGCCTCTACAGATTGTTCCCATGAGGAGCTGGTTAAAGTGGCTCCTATCTCAGCTTCCAAGAAGAACTGGTATGCTTCACTATGCATTAATTCCTGGTGACGCAATCGTGTTAGTGTCAGAGATTCGTCATTATCCAGCAACCTAGTCTACACAGTGTTCATGGTATTAATTCTATCCATGCTTTTATAAACATACGTTAGCGCTGTCTCCTGAAACGTTCCTTTACTTACAATTTAAAACGTGTTCATCATCTGACTGCCCTCTGAAAATGACGTTTGAGTCGTTTAGTTGTTTACTGGTAGGCTGTAATATGGGATCCGCGGTTTTCTGCCCATGCATCACATTGCACCCGTACCTCAATAGTCCTCAATCTTCCAGCCCCAAACCATCCCCCTCCCCTTTTTCCACGCTACATACACAATCATAGCACTGAAACCCGGGAGCTAAGGCCCCCAATCCTTGATAGAAATTTTTCCAGGTAGCCCCCGCCACAATTCAGCTCCCATTCATGGACAAAAAAAAGTGCAGGGGCTTAGCACACTCTACCCCCCCCCCCCCCACTCCCACCTCCACAACCATCTAAAAACCTTATGTTTTTAAATACCTGTTATTACATTTTCAGATCATTTCGATTACAGTATACTATTTCTGCCAGTCAGAACATAATAATAAATATCATTATTACTTACTGATAAACTGGACAGAGAAATTAGCTTCAGATGTGCCAAAGCTAATCAAGTAATGGGCAACTATCACCCCTGTTGACACACAAGCAGATACCTCGGAGTACTAAAGTGAATCTTATCAGAACTATTTTTTGGCCAACACTATGATATCAGTGCCAAACGTGGACACTTACATCCTCCAATGAACGTAAAATTGTGACAACAGAGATGAAATGCCTTAGAAGAGCTGCAGGAGTTTCAAGGAAAGACAGAAAACGAAAACATGAAATCAGACGAATGCTAGGAATATAGCCAGTCTTACAGGTCATCAAAAGAACAACAAATGAAGTGGTCTGGACACCTAACAAGAATGCCCTGGTACTATCTGCCACAGCGAGCTACACTAAAACGTTACAAGGGGTATAGAGCGAGTGGAAGACCTCGGAAAATATGGAGTGATGGTATTAAAAACAGCCTTACAGAAATGAACATCAGTCTTATTGTGCTCTTGACAGAGCTCATCAACGTACATTATTACATCTTCCCCCCCCCCCCCTTTCCCCGACACTTCGATAAGGTACAAGGTGGAACAGAAGAAGAAGAAGAAAAAGAAGAAGAAGAAGAAGAAGAAGAAGAAGAAGAAGAAGAAGAAGAAGAAGAAGAAGAAGAAGAAGAAGAAGAAGAAGAAGAAGAAGAAGAAGAAGAAGAAGAAGAAGAAGAAGAAGAAGAAGAAGAAGAAGAAGAAGAAGAAGAAGAAGAAGAAGAAGAAGAAGAAGAAGAAGAAGAAGAATTACTGATAATTATAGTTCTCCTGCATTTTACGTGGACAATGTTTACGCTAATAGAGGCCTTATATAAAGCGACTGAAACCCTACCATATCATTAGGTCCACAGATGTACCCTTGTAACTTATAATTTGCATTTTGCATTGAAAAAAAAAACGAGTTTAATCTAATCACAATTTCACTTTAGGAAAATTACAGGTGGTGCATAAGTATATACTGTTATGTGCATATAAGATTTGAAATATATGGACGTACGAACATAGAACCTGTTTTTCTGTATGGCAGCGAATCTTGGAATGTCAGTGAACAAATTAGGAAGAATTTGGAAGCAACAGAGATATGGTTTCTGAGACTTATTAATTTTACGAATACCTTGGACGGCTAGAATAACTAACAAAGATTGCTCGAAAGAAGGTAATGAAAGTAGATCTCTAAATTCAACAATAGGAAAAAGACAAACACTGTTCTTTGGCCACATAATGAGAACAGAGACATTGGAGAACATCGTGAAAACTGGAATGATCAGTGGTATAAGGGGTAGAGGCAGACCAAGAGAGATGATGCTGGATGGACTGAAATGATGGCACGCATAGAAATAAAGAGAGCTGTTCCTTGCAACCAGTGATCGCGATATGTGGAGAGGCATGAGCGCCTAAGTCAGTTGGCAGGGCACATGATAGTGATGATAGACGTATGAATATATTCATTGTGAATCGTGCATCTGTTCTGTGGCTAACAAACACAGTTTTAAAGCAAATTTAAAAGAATTACAACAATGGCCTGCAACGATTACCAGAAAAGTTAAGAGAAATCAGCTTTTGTCTTTCCAGTGGTGGTGCCCACCGCGACCAAATAACAAACATTGCTGGCCATGTTACTCCCTGTGGAAAGTAGAGGATATTGATGATTCCAGCAACATTGGGGTACGTGTTCATTTATAAAATACTTCCAAAGATACTTTGAAAAAAAAAAAATATTCATACAGAGCAAACGTAAAGTCTTTAAATCTAGTGTCAACATTTTGCAGAGACAACCGGAGGAAAATAGAAAACAAGTCAGTAGTTCGCACGCAAATATTCAACTAGTTTAGCTGCGTTTGCTAGTCGCATGGCTGCACTAGGAACCACAGTAGCATAGTTGCTACAAGTTGGCCTGCTGGCCAGGATGTGCTAGGATCGAATTTTGGGCCAGATTGAATTTTTTTTTTCTTTTTTATTAGTCTTGGCTCCGAGATTAACGTAGCCTAAAATTTATTTCGGGAGTTACCGTGTCGGAGCAGCTAGAAGCTCGACACGGATCAGAAGGTCGTGGGTTCGCTCTCTGGCGGAACCGGACTTTCGTATTTCAAAAATGACTTTCGCTTGCAAGTTGACCCAGCCTTGAGTGGTTACAAGGTGCAGTCCCAGGAAGTAAAGGTGGTCCAACCTTATATGCCGTATAAGTATAAAGTCGTGGAAAAAAGGTCCTTTATTTTAGTTACTTTAAAAAAAATGTGTGCCAGGTAATGTCGTGTTCAGTAAGGGCCGCCGAAATAATGTTCCTCATGTCACCCACCTAGTGTTAATTAATTTATTGACCTATATATATATATATATATATATATATATATATATATATATATATATATATATATATATATATATATATATATATATATATATGTATGTGTGTGTGTGTGTGTGTGTGTGTGTGTGTGTGTGTGTGTGTGTGTTTTGTGCCATCCCCAAGGGAGGTTGGCCACAGTGTATCACTGTTCTCTGTGTGAATAATACGTGTTGCGGCCCAATCTCTTCCACGATAGGAGTCTCGTACCATTGTCAGAAAACTATATATGCACACACACACACACACACACACACACACACACACACATTTTGATCTGTTATTGGTGTATTGAATACATCTATCTTTTGATGATATGTTTGTTAAAGTATTGGTTTTTCTTTTTTCTTTTGATGGTTTTTTTTTTTTTTTTGCTTTATTTTGTTGTTGCAGTTTTAGTTTTTTCTTTGCATGTCTATATGTTCTGGACAATATCGTCTACAAAATCAAAATATTGCTGTTATGTGTTCTCCACCCTGTAAATGCCGGTGTTCCAGTGAAGTTCATACTAGAGACAATATTGCAGATATAGATATTCTATTTCAAGCGAACGAAAAAAACAAAAACAAAAAAGCAGAAAAAGAAGAAGTATAACAATTGTCCATCTTCCTGTCAATAGTTATGCCAAATATCATTTATCTCATCATCATTCAGTAAATCCTTTATGGAACATCACTCTCTTCACAATACAGATGCAAATCCCCCCTTTTTTAGCCAAGATTCCTGCGATATATTCTTCATATCTAATGTGTATTTCATGTCAAGTATCCAATTTTTAAAGTACTTTTAACATATCGGTTAAAACTTAACATATTTTAACATAACTTTAGAGTTAGGTTAATTATTTAGGTCTCTAGATATTGAAGTTTCACATTTTTAAACAAAACACTCACACATATACCACCAGCACAATAATTTTTAACCATGTAGTTTGCCTGAAAAACGTCACTCTAAAAAAAAGTCACATCGACAAGCCAGAAGGATGACTTTTACTGCTTCACGAACATTCATGTCTAGGGCACCCTTGATTTCTCGTATTCAGCCCCCCCCCCCCCCCCCCCTATCTGCTGAATTATCTAATACACATTCACACAAGTAAAGTCTAAATAAAATGATTTTTATGCCCACCACATTTCACCATAGGTTCCATCATATTCTTTGAGTTCAACATACACACGCATTCTACGAAATGTCCACACTGGCATGTTCACTTTTGTAAAGGATACAACGAAATCACTGAGCTACAATGAAATAAAGTGAAACCTAACCTGTAACATTCCCAGTAACACCCTAATAGCTATTAAGGCAGTGTAGCTGATTTGTGCCGCAGACGGTATGAGCAAAGTTACAACACCGCTACCGAAAGTAGCCCATCCAAAAAATCGTTTACCGCCATACCTGAGGAATTGTATTTGTAAAACTAAGCATATAGATATTTATATGTGTGTGTGTGTGTGTGTGTGTGTGTGTGTGTGTACGTATATGCTCTCATAGTTACGTACCCAAATGCATAAATATGTATCTATTCGTGACTTTTATTGCTATTGATTATCATCACAGCGCTTCGGATAGATTCCTATGTGCTCTAATGTCCATCCTCAATAGGTCTACAAGTTTGACCGCATCCTTCTGTGTACAACGCCTTGTGCCCTTACTAAAATGTTCATGTCTGGCTGCTTCATTGGTTTCATTGCCGTACCGACCAGCGTGACAAGCATATTCTATTCTGCCTGTGTTCATGATTTTCTTTGCGATAAACATCTCGCATAACCTTTATGATATCCCATCGTTTTTGTGCCGGGCCATTACTATCAAACTGTCGCTTGCGATAGAATAATCGTTGCCACTGAGAAAATATACCAGGCTAATATTGGGTCGAATTCCTTCGATAGATCAGAGACAATATCATCTTGGTTCCTACCCTGCCGGTATAGTAGGATGTCATCCGCAGTAGGAGAGGGGTTCTTTTGCTGCGGAAGATAGGGACTGAGCGCTTATGGGGGTGTGCATAGTACTATGATGTGGATTCTTAATTCAACATTCAACATTCCGCGTCTGACATTTATTTGTTTTTTTTGTTGTCTTGATAGTATCGATATTGAACAGGACTGGAGACAGGACAGAACCTTGAAGCATCCGCGGGTTGACTGTTTATTTCTATGGAGCAGTGTTCCACTAGATAGCAACGGAACAAGTCATAGAAGGGTTCCATCAGCTGATACCTAAGATGACGGAATTAAACGATGTTGTACGCATCTTCTTGGGGCGTGGTATAACAAATTCGCCAAGACGACTGTGCTACACTAGGTCTCTTTGCTCATTATGTAGACTTTGAGTGTGATGGTAGTAAATGGCGAGATTTTCAAATTCAAGATTCAAAACATGTTAAAGCTGGATGTATATAGCAAGCAAGAATTCTTGTTGTAACCTACACTGACAAAGATATATTGCAAAAGATGTTCTTTTTTTAAAATAAAATGCAGTTTTTACCTGTCCTATTATGTTTCTTATCTTAGTAATGCATCTTCCATTTGATGTTATTAATGTGCCCAGATACATTTCTGTACTTGCCCCAAAATAACACCATTGACTTTTATTACACATTTAGAAATAATTATTTTCTTTTATACCACTATTACTTCTGTCTTTCCATTATTCAGACTGACGACCATTCTTCCACTTTCTAACTCCACAATGTTTTTTATTTCCTGTAGTTCTTTCTGACTTGTTGCTATCAAGACTGTGTCTTCATCATAACTTAAATTGTTTATATTGTGCGCACTAACCACAATTCTGGGCATATCATTTATAGATCTAATTATAAGTTCACTGTAAATTAAAAATAAATTAGGTGAAAGCACACATCCACGTCTTACACCCCTCTTTATGCTCTGAAATATACCTAAAAAGTTGTTCATTCTTAAAGCTGCTGTTTGCAGTCAATACATATTATTTATTGTTCGTAGATCTTTTCCATCAATTTGTAATTTTTCTAACATTTGGATTACTTTTTCGTGTTTCACACTGTCAAATGCTTTTATATAATCAATGAAGAATAAGTAAAAATCAGCCTTTGCTTTTATAGTTCTTTCTAAAAATGTCCTTAGGATTTATATGGCTTTGTTTGTACCTTTGATTTTTACAAATTCACATTGTTTATCGCCGATTTCTAGATTTATTGTGTATCTTTCTCTTCTCATAATTATTCTCAGTAAAATCTTAGTCAGGTAACTCATAAGATCTATTGTACAAAAGTCTTCACATTTTAAAGTGCTGGTTTCCTTGGCAGAGCTTTAAATATGGATTTTAAATGGTCATTTGGAATTTACCCACTATTATAAATATCATTAAAAAATTTAGTTATTTTAATTCTAAAATCTCCCAGTGCTTCTATTTCTTCCAGTGAGATGTCGTCTGGCCCGGGTGCTTTTCTTTTCTTCACATGATGAAATTCATCCTTAACTTCTGCGGTCATTATTTGTGGACCATCATTGTTGGCCTGTAATTCCCCATCTGGTCTGTTATAATCATAAATTCCCCTACATACTCTATCCATATGTTAATTTTATTACCATGTCCCATTAATAAGTTGTCATTTTTTACTTGTAAACATACAGTGCTGTTATGTGCATCGTTCCTGTTAACATATTCATCTGTCTTGTCCCTTTTTCCCCAACCTCTGTACATATTTGATTCAGCCAGGATTCTTTAGACACTCTGCATTTGTTCACTATTCCTTTTTTTTTTTTTTTTTGTATTCTAGAGTATTCTTCTTTATTATTCCTTTTCTTTCTTCTTTCATCCATCAACTGCAGAATTTCGGTTGACATCCATTTCTTTTTTGAAACTCTATGGGTTGGTGGGATTGTCTCTTTTGATGTCTGCTGAATTGACTCACGCAACATATTCCACTGTTCATTAATAGTGTGTATAATTTCCATTGCATTAAAACAGCTTTGTACAGTGACATTGTACTGTTCATTAATTCCTTTATCCGTTCTCAGTATTCCTAAATTTAATGGAAGAAGATGAGGTGAATGAGGAGGGAAAAAAAAGAACAGAGGAGATAAATAAAAATGTGAAAAAGCAAGAGAAGTAGAAATAAATATTCTGTGTAAATGAGACTTGCCTCTCAGACAACCATCCACCAGGTAGCAATGTTATCCAATACCCCCAGAAAAATGACCCAGTCACTGCAGCTTGAGTCTTCTTATCCCATGTGTATTGCATACTAGCGGCCTGTAGACATTTTAAAGAAGAGAGAAAAGGGGGCGATGGGGTAGGGGGAGGGGGGGGGGGAAGGGGTCATTCGCTTTTTTTTATTTTACAGAATAAATATATTAAATCACGTGGACACAATGTTTGCAAGGATTTTGGAACAACGAATAAGATTCACTGCAGAACAGTTTCTGAGCTCCGCAGAGTTTTTTGATTTTTATTTTTGTTAAACTTTTTTGTGTGAAAGGAGGCGGGGGTGGGGCGAGTGTACCGATGCTGCATTTACCATAAAACAGATCTGTGAAAACGTTGCCTTTATAGATAAAGAGAAAGCGTTCCACAGAGTAAAAGGAAATTTACTTTAGGAATTCCTCGATAACTATTGCCATGTGGAAAACTAGACAGTATGCATGCTACATGAATGCGCTCTCAAAACAGTAACTTCCCTCGTGTGGTGGTTTCCAGTAAAAAATCAAAAGTGCAACAAGAGTCCATAACCTGTGTGAGTGTGTTTGGTTTTGTGTGTGTGTGTGTGTGTGTGTTTGGTTTTGTGTGTTTGGTTTTGTGTGTGTGTGTGCGTGTGTGTGTGTGTGTGTATTGTCTTGTCTTGTCTTGTCCACAATTGCCTCACAGCGTAGTGGGGAGTCGCAGTTTTCTATCCTGGGCCAGGTGTGTTGCACGTGTTGTTGTTAGTCCGTGTTGCCTCAGGATCTCTGATATATTGTCTATCCATCGTACTCTCGGTCTGCCTCTTGCTCTAGGGCAGTAGTGCTGTTCGTTGTATGCTCGTAGAGGCAGTTGGTCGGTTTGCTGTGTGTGTATTAAAGTATATAAATGGAAGTATTACCACTATAGATACTATATAACAGGTGTCGACAAACAAGAAGACTTCAATGGCTGTTCTTGGCCGAGTTCAGTGAATAAATCATAGTGAAAGTAGGGCCACATAGACCAACAATGACAACTTCCTCAAACATCACATGAAAATCCAACATTAAAAAAAAAAATAGAAACATACTTATAAATTTTAGCAGAGGACTAAGAGCCACTGACACAAGGATGAAAGACCAAGCGTGAAACAAGTAGATGAATTTAAATGCTTGGCAAGCATTTATACATAGAATAGGAAGCCAATAAAACCAACAGTGTTACGCGCTAGCTTACCCAATCTCGCGAAACCTGGTATTCCACGCACAAGTAAATAAACAAAAAGATTGATTGTTTGTTTGAGTATCCAGAAGCCATGAGTTGTTAACCCTTAGGCTCGGTATTATGGACATCGCAATTTTTCGTCCTTGTTTCCATTGTAAATACCGTTAATCTGGGAGAAATGTGGCTTTTCTGCCTACGTGAGTGAACCCAGACCACAAGGAGGACGTCACCCGGTCACCGCGCAATCCGGTTTAGCCAACTACGCTAACCAACTACGCAAACAAATAGTTACAAACCTATCATAAGATATTTTTATTTTCTAAATTCAGGTTATTAGCGTCAGTCTTAACTAAACTATACGAGAGAAAACTAACCGTGACATGAGAAGATCGAATAATGCTCGAAAAAAAAAAAAACACACACACAGGCGAAATTAGGAGATTATAACAGCTTCTGGAACGACACTCAGAATTAAATAATTATTTAAAGAAAGACTGACATAGTTCGGCCACCTGGTAAAAATAAATCCACCGGTGTCGGCAGCGAGAGCTTACAACATTAGAAGAAAACACCAGGAGGCAGAGGGAGACCTGGAAAAAATGGATCGAAGGAGTCGCAGACAGCCTGTGACTATACTGCATTACAAGAGATCAAGCAACTGAACGCCTGCCATGACTCGGCTTTATGTCGTCTCTTAAACGGAAGCATCTAGGAGCGCAACCCAGATATTGTTTGGATTAAATAAAGGAAGAACCGATAAAATTAGTTTTAGAAAACCAATATATGCTCATTAACATTGCCAGATCTCCATAAGGTATTCCTATAAGCCCATTTGAACACAATATGGGTCTCGACATAGTGTGACACAGCGGCTGCTGGGTATATCTTTCTATGTACTGTTATGTCGCTGTTGACACATAAAACATACTTCATGCCTTTATTTTCCTTTGTACCGTCTTTCTGTAAGTTTCTTTGGTCCTCCGCGTATCTCCCCTTCCTCCCCCACCCCCAATATGTCCATTAGAGAA